GGTTAACTTGATCTAAACAAAAATAAATTAATTTTCTCCCTTTTTGCAAATAGCTTAGAAACGGTGCTTCTCAGAACTAGGGCACCTTATAAAACCTGTCGTAAAATGAGACGTTAAATTTGAAGTCGAGAAAAAAAATAGGGGGTTCCATTGGAAATAAGCAACTTTTTGAGGTTTAAAAACATGCAAGTTTAGAGGCTAATTGCGCGGTTTAGAAGGATTTCCTTATAATTTAAAACATATCTACACGTAGATCATGATGTTCTGTTAGAATCGCTGAAGACTGTTTTCCAAAATTCGCAGCGGGTAGTGTACAGCATCGATTTCTGTGGAACCCAGTAGCTGTAAAAACTTTCACATTTTTACGAATAACTCGGAAATCGTAAATTTTTCAGGTAAAACGGTTGAAACAAACATAAATTAAACTTGAACGACCAATCTGAAAATAACAAAAAAAAGGGGGGTTTCATTTAAAAAACCAGAGTTGGTAACTACCACACGTTTATGATGCACCCTGTATATTGGAAAGTAATTTTAGAATGTGGACCTTTTAAACGTGAAAAACTTTCGTTGGACGAATTTTCTTGTAAACTTCATATTTACTGAGATATCGCACTTTGACGCACTAATGAGCAACCCTGTATATAACATGATTACCTGAATTTTTATTTTAAAAACATTCTCATGATTTCTCCTACTTGCCGCTCCCGGCGTTTCTCTTAAAACTTCACCCGTAGTTTCGCGACAATCGTTTTCGCTTATTTTTTCCTGTACTTCACTTAACTGAAATAAAAACTTTCTAAAATATTTTTGCCTTTTGATAAGCTTTCTGTGCGAAAAATGCTCGTATCAGCTAAAAACCTGATTTATTTATAATTACCATTTTTCAGCAAACAATCGCCACAGCACGCAGTGGTATTTCAATTATGCAACTTAGCCCGGTGAAGAGGAAAGGAACCTGTTTCAACAGAAATTTGCTCCAACACAAATTTTCCGAAATTCATAAACCTATATATTTGCAAAAAGCTAGATCAGAAGAATGGCAACAATGTTTTTCAAGGTAATCTGCCTAATTAACATTACGTAAATATCTGTTCCTTCGGAATTATTTAAAACTCCGGTAACCATGGATAAACATGAAGCAAAGAGAATAAAGAGGACAATAACATGCGTTGAGGTTAGGATAACGGTGTCACCTTGCGGTTAGTGCCGCGACAGAACAGCCCCCCGCGTGCTGCCATCTTTTTGCGGCAAATGAGTGATATAACTAAATCGGCCACAACTGTCATCCCAAACCACCAGTTAAAGGTTATGTATCATTGATTAACATTATTGATCAATTAAAATACAATTCTCTTGTTAAAACATAAGTGTTCCCAAGACCAAGAAGTCCTGCCCGTTTCACTCCAAACATCTTTGTGTCCCAATCACTTGAGTCTGGGCCCATATTTTGGGCATCTTCTCGTGTCGGTTAATTAACTGCTGCTCAATTTGAACCGGTGTTCGGAAGATCAGAGATTGTATGTCTTCTAGTGTCCTGTACATATTACATACATGGTAGGAATGTAGGCCATTCGTCGGGGGAGTTATCGGGACAATAAGTATCCGGTTTTTGAGAAACTGCAGTTGTTGTGCAATATTTCAAGTACTCCTCAGGCTCAGCTACAATAATCTCCAATATCTGTTCCTCTAGGTGTGGAAACCGAGTACCTTTAGATAGTCCACTATCTGCGTCCATTTCGGGCCGCTCGTCGAATGTGTAGCTCTTTGCTGGTGTAAGTTCTTACGGCTTCTGCTATGTTACTGTGGCATTTTCCCATAACTAATCGCATATTCGCAAATTCGCTGTTGGTTTACATTTTGTGAAAGGAGCTACAAAATAAGTCACAGTTTGACAAATGCTTGTTGTTATTGACAAAGGCTGTAACCTAACAAAACCTGTAACCATCTGTTAATGATAAAAAAACATCAATGCCGCATTGACTTTTCACCAAGAAACCGTAGAAGAGTACTTTTTTAATATCAAAAGTTTTCGTGATTTGACAAACAGATCGTATTTTTTCCTTTCGAATGCTTAAGTATTCCAACAGGCTACCAATCAAACGTGTTACTTTTTTAAAACAATGCTTAATGACAAAGTTGAAATTCGATCTTCAACTCTTTATATCTTCTTGAAATTTTGGAAAAAAAAATTTTCTATATTTTTCTCGTACTCTTTAAGTGGACCCCTATATACCCTTAAAAGGAATTACGCAAATTTTGAATCACCCTGTACAGGGCGACAATGGCAGTATTCACCAATTCGGGTTCATTTGCGTGATTTTTGATCAGATTGGATTTGGCGTTGGAGCAGAACTCAAATGGCTAAACCATTTGGGAAATTCCAAAAATGCAAAATGAAACCAGCGAGAAATTGTATAATTCTTGTGTTTGTATTCGAACACATTGTAATTGATTTTTAGCTAAAAATG